ATGAAGAAAATAAATCTCTTCAGGCTGAGGCGCGGATATCTCGCTCTCTTTAAGGAGATTCAAGCCCACTGCAACAAATATTTTCACCGGTCCAACAGTAGTCCTCTTGACTTGTCCCCTCCAGGATACAACAGCCTTCACAAAGTATAACTCAACAACTCTGGACAAGAGTTGAGTCCAAAGCTCCACAAAAAAGAACACCTCCCTTCAACTAATAAGAACTCTTTTTTTTTTACTAACTCTTTCACTCTATATTTTTCTAGTGTATTGTATATATCCCAAACCAAATGAATACCATCACTATTTATAGTAGAAGAAGTCTTCCTAGCAATGAATAGGAAGATAATGGTGTAGTTAATAGTGAAGATAAATAGCTTTAGGAGTTACATATGTTACATAGGTTACAAGAATAATGGAGGATGAATAATGAAGATGTAATGGCCATAGTTGACCACTACACACGTTCTGCCAGAAAAACCCACAACGGACACAAACGGACAACACAATTGCCCAACGTTCTCAGCAACGTTTATCACTATTGAAGACTGACAATTAATCCAAATTCAACTGCCAAAAGAAGTGATCCATAATGCTGAGTAATTAGTCCATTATACTTAACTTCTGACAGATGTGCAAATAGGGTATTGGAAGCACTTCAACATAAATTTTTAATAAGAATATTAAAATGCTTCTAAACCAACATAAAGTTCAGAAGAATCCAGAAGAAATGGACTTGCTTTTTCTTTCACCGAAGAGATTACATTTTTTTTATTTTTTTTTTGTATATTATCGTGTTCAATATCCATATTAAAATTCAGTTTGCGAAATCTATATTTTTAATAAGAAATGTCATAATAAAATACACTTATTTTGCCGTTCAGAAGAATCTAGAAGAAATGGACTTCCTATTTTCTACTCACTTTTTCTTCCACCGAGCTTATATTTTATAGGGTGAAAAAAAAAAGCTTATAATTTTATATATTATTATTATTTTATTTCTTATTTAGTACTAATAGGGACTTGAGTATTCAAATTGAAATCTAACTAAATCTGAAATAGCTGCCTTGCAAGGCTTATTTCTATGTGCTTTCAACAAAAAAAAAATTATTCTTAAAATTTAATTTCAAAACATCTATAATTAAATATAAAAGAGATCTCAATTATCATACTAAAATTTGCAATCGAGCGTGTAATTATAAGGATGAGAAATGTCATAAAGCAAAGACCGATCATGAAAACTCATATTTTATATATAATAAGATAACCATCGTAAAGAACTAATCTTTATTAGAGTAATAAATATAAGGGAAAATGGTATGAATTAGCAAACTATTAATTCAAATTAAATGTTATAGCCATAGTTTATTTTAATTGTAATTCGCAACAAACATTCCCTTTTTTGCCATCTGATTCGATATACAATTAGCCATTTTCGGTATACAATTAGTCATTTTATACATTTCGGTATAAAATGTATGAAATGCGTTTTTGTTTGTATAAAGCGAGAGAAAAGTGTATATACAAATACAAATATATATATATTTTCGTCCTAAACACATATAATTATACAAATACAGATCTTATTATACAAATTACAATGTATAAATGAATTTATACAAAACTGAACAATTTGTATAAAATTGGATGTTTGTAGCGAATTATACAAATCAAAAGCTCCATAGCAAACATAAAATTTGCTATGGAGCGTAATTATGCAAACTATAGCTATAACATATAAATATGATTTTAAATTTTGCTATATGTGAAAGTTGCTCTAAATATAAATAAGAGAAACATAAGCTCCATATTTATTTATAACATAAGAAAAAAATTTAAACAAGGAAGAAATAATTTATTTATTTAAAAAAAAAAAAACATATTAAGAATTTCAAGGGCATTTTGGTCCTCCTTCTTGAGTCTTCCAATCTCTATAACATGAACAACAATCTTTTTGTCCCAAAGTACCCGGTGGAACACAATGACACCAATTACAACACTTGTTACAAAATAATAAACAATTGTTCTTGTGAGACGTTGCTGAGCATCGTTTATCGCACGCATTTGAACATTCTACAAAAATAGAAGAAAAAATATATATAATCTAGTTAATTTCTTCAAGTAAAGTCGATTAATTCAAAATTTAAAAAGTTCTTACGATTGTTAGGAACATAGCAAGTGGTTTCACCAACTGGAGGTTTTGCTAGAAGTGAAGAATAAAAATCTTGATGTGCCTATTTATTCAATGAAAATATGATAAATTAATCGAATTAATGAATTTCATATATTAAATGCAAGTGAAAATATGCGAAAGGGAATAGTAGTAAAAGTTATTCACTCACTAGAGAAACTTCAATGAGACACAATGAGGCAACCAACAAAAGAAGCAAAAAAGCTTGAGATCTAACAGCCATTGTTGAAGACTTGAATTATATGGTGATTGGACTTGATTTCTTGTTTTTTAATATATTTTATGGCAATCCTTTTATATTTATCCTAATTTTACACATTATGGTAAATTAGTATCATATGGTAAAGAACAAATGAACATAATTCCTGCCTAAAATTACTACGGAAAAAGATTTGCATAACATAATCAAGGATTGTATTGCCAAAACATTATTGCAAGCATTTGGAAAGTTAATATTTAGTCATTAGTATTTTGAAATTAAAAAATTATATATAATTATTTTTTTTTGCGTCATTCATTAATACACCAAAAAGAAATTTCTGGCGAATGGATCATCAATGTACATGATTAGATGGTAAAAATGCAGTAACTTTTACTTGAAAAGATCATTTCTCACCCTTACAAATAAAACTCGAACGATCCAGAGAAATAGCTCATTTTTCATCCTTCAAAATATCACAAGAAGCCAACAGCATTTCAAATATATTTTACTCAAAGGCGGATGTAGCCCTTTGGAGAAGCTATGGACTCATGTGAACCACAACTTTTGACACGAACTCAACAAATATTAGATTTGAACCCATTATTACAATATATTCAATACAGAGTTCAACTCATTCTGTTTCTGACTATACTTTCACAAATTCAGCCATAGTTTCCTAATCCAACGACATTTTCACTTAACAGGCGTACCAATACCACTCATATTGTTAACAAAATCATCTATTGACAAGTTGTAGATGCATGTTTAGATAATGACTTACATAAGTTACATTACATGTGTAGAAATCCTGTGATATAATGCTTACATTGCCTGAAGGATAAGTACCCAAAAATTTTGCTAATTTATCAAAATAGATAAAGTCATTCATCTAATAAACCAATATACATTGAGATTCCAAAATAATGGGAGACTAATCCACTACTAAGTCTCCACATTTTCTCCCTAATAAAGACTAATTCAAAATTCAACTTATATGCAGAAGACCTAAAACAGTACCATAAAATTGCTCTGTCAAAGGAATTTGGAGCAATCCCATGCTAAAGTTTGTCCAAGAAAAAACCATTTCAAGAGATTATCCTTTAGTTCTCATGATGGTAATGCTGCCTCTTCCACCCTCTGTGTGAATTTTTGTCTTGCCAATGACAGGCTTCCCAGAAAAAGCTGATGTCGGATAAGGTGGTGGATCTTGATTGTGTTGCTTTGATTTAGAGGGTGGCGGAGTACATATCTTTTTGTTGATCTCTTTTAAAGTCACATCTCCTTGAGCGCTGCAGGGTTTGATAAATCCAAATGGGTAAACTACAGAAGATGCACCTTTCTTGGGAGTCTTTGTGTATGAATTCCTACCTGGATGCATAGTCAGTTAAGAGTAGGAGCTCAGTAGCAGCCAGTATCGACAATGTTATCACAGGGGGTTCTTTTCAAAATGTAATGAATTCAACGCGGCTATTTGAGACTCAATGATTGATAAGTGTAACCTTGAATAAAGTAAGAGTGTAATCATAGATAAAGTATTAACCTTTGAAAACAATGTTTCCATAAGTACGAGCAGGACTGCTTTTAACCATAGTTATATCGCATTCTGGTGGGGAATTGACAACTTCTGCAACAGATAAGCTGACGTCAATCAAATATTAAACAAGAATAGCATGAAAAGGAAGACGAGAACACCAGCACATGATGAATATAGAGGAGCCAGACCAAAAAGAAAGGAAGAACAAAAGAAATAGAACATTCTCAATGGAAAGAGAGATTCCCTACCCATTGTGTCTGCTTGAACATCAGATACTCCAGATGCATTCCTGTTAAAATAAATGTGTAAGAGCAGAGCACACATAGCATAACTAAAAGTCATTATGAGCATGGAAGGCAAAGGATGAAAAGTTACATATCCTCGGAAATAATCTGCAACTCAGGATCATTAATGCAATCAGTAAGCCATTCTTCAGATGACTCATCAAAACCTTCCTGAGCCGAAGATGTTGCACCATCTAGAAAAACGTATTCTGTCAATAACGAATTTAACAAATTAAGCAGATATAACTTTACAAAAATGTTGCACAGACTGACCTGCACATTCGGAAAACCAGTCTGACACATCACTCCTAGCTTCTTCAAAATATGCATTCCTCTCCTGCATTATCCAACTTCCATGTAAAATCACTTTAATAGAAATCATTTCCTCAGATACTTTTTCTGCATTACTTAGTAACATAAACATGTAAAATGAAGCAGAACTGAAAAGGTGCATTGTCACAAGAGGTTTCCTTACGGAGCGAATTCCACCACTGAACTGTTGGCTTAACAAAACGCCCAACTTGGTTTAATGTGTTGGAAACAACATACATTATTAATGTTAAAGTTAACTTGGTTCACATGTAGGAAACAACATACATTATTTATGCTAAAGTATGATTAGAAGTGTGCTATACTAGACAACTCAAAACACATAGCAAAAGGTAGTAGTAGTAACCTTAGATTTTAAGAAAGTTAACGCAAGCTCTTCGTTTGAACCAGTGGAATCCAGGATCTCAGCATCAAATTGCAGCACTCGACGTCTTTTTACTGGTTTAGAAGGTTCTCTGCACTGCTCCAATTGCTTACTTGTAGCATCTGGATCAAACCACTTAAATCAGGTTAAGATGCTTCAAACATGCTGAGTATTAGAAGAAAGATAATTGTTATATTTGGATCCTGTACCCTTGACATTGGAAGTCAACTCACCACAGTCCTTTACCGGGGTTGTCTCATCATCAAACATGTAGGAAATATCTTTGTTTTTTTCAGTTACACCAGTCCATGGACATCCTGATACGTCTGTTTGAGACTGCATCCCTGTTTAACATGGATGACTCCACTTAATTATCTTTTGTCACTTATAACCATACGAGAAAACATCTACACTTACCAAAGTTCTCGCTGTCTTGAAGAAAAGTTTCTCCACATTGCCAATCCCATATCTCGCTGCAATAGTTTCATCAAAGCAAACAATGAATCTGTTCAATTCTAAACTTGCTATTTATCATAAATATATATGTTAAGACTACCTCTCAACATGTATAAAGAATTACTTGAAGAAATCTCATTTTTCATGAAAGAATCATTAATCTTTTAAGTTGAAATTTACATATGCTTTTTGATACATAGAGTGGGAAACATAAATGTGGGAAATGTGTGAGGCATAATCATCCATGACACATACAGAATGCAAATTAAGAAGCATAACATTGAGTCACTAAACGAAATTAGCAGCTACACGGGTGCCATTCATACGAGAACAATAACCCTATATATTAATACGATAACAACAACAATGCCTCAATATCAAGCAAGTAGGGACAACTATACTAATCAGGTTGCTCCATTCAAGTAATCACACAATATATTCTTCTGAAGTTCAAAGAAAACGAATGAACTACAGAACTGAACAATCAAACTAGAACAATAACATCATTATAATTCACCAAAATTGTGGTCAACTACATAAATCATCACAGAAAACCCAATATATTCATCTAGGGCTCAAAAAAATCACATTAAAATTAAAAAATAAAAATGATAGTCAAACTAAAAGAAAAAATCGTTTTCATGATCGATCAAGTTAAAATACACCATTGAACTATATATTCATTCAACAACCACAATACTCAATCCAAGCAAGAACATAACTCAATCACAAGCAAGTAGAGATCAACAAAATAAAATACAATCACAGCATTTTGACACCGACAAAGTGTAAATACAGCCATTGTTACTCCATCTAAGCAATAGAACAAATATAATCGTTCAACAAAAACACATGAAATCAAAAAAAAAAAAAAAAAAAAAAAAACCTGTTAGTATCGAAATCCATGGACAGATCAGCCATATCCGTAAAACCACAACATAAAAATGACCGTTCAGCAAATAGAAAATGGAGAAAAAAAGTAGATATAAAACTGATGAGTGCTATTCTATACGGAAGAAAGTGCCGAACAGAGACTGTACTGGACTGGACTGATGTGTCTCAGTCTCTCACATAACCACAAAAAAAAAATTGCTTTCTCCGTTTCCGTTTAGAGTGGGTGAAGCAATTTATTAAATGTTTGGGAAGAATTGTGTCCCGCAAGTTTCTTTCTTCTTTAGTTAAAATTAAATATATAAATATTTTTTTCGAAGAGATGCGTCCATTACAGTGACAGAGAGTATATAGTGGCCCTCATTTGATGGGGCCATCACTCTCTGTCTCCAACATTTCTCCCTTTTCTTTCCACTTGTTTCGCGTGAGTTTATTTGTTTATTTAATAAATAAATTCGTCCTTTGAGTTTTGGGTACTTTTATTTTCTCTTTCATTTAATTTATTCTCACCACATTTAATACTTTATATTCATTAAATCTAACTGCTTCAATATTGAAATGTATTAAATTTTACTAGTTTGTAAAGTGGTGATGGTTGGTAAAGAATAGGAATGAATGGGCGGTTGTGATCGTCGAGATGGTTTATGATCCGCTATAGTAATAATATAGTTGATTGTAATGGTTGATTAATATTTGTATAGTAGTTGTGGAGGTGATTAGTGGTAATGAGTGTCGCTAGTGTCATGGTGGTGATAATGTTTAACAATTGTTTTTATCTGTTTTGTTTTACTTGGACTATGTTGATTTGATACCATTCTTATGAAAGTTTTTACTAGTATGTATATTACTAAACTAATCTTATTAATGATGATTTAAAACTCTAAATTGGACTAGTATTACTTTATTTAGTTATTTAATATTAAAAATAGTATGAAGAAATGTAATAATAAAATTGTTTTGATTTACTAAAATAGATTTAAAAAGGTTATATTTTTATAATAAAAAACTAAGTAAAATGAAATGCAAGAAATACATCTAGCGGTGATTATTATTTATGAATATAATGATGGTGAAAGGCCATTTTAGGAAAAAATATATTCTTAATAATGTTAAAACGTTATTTACAATTTTTAATAAATTAGATCTATTTAAAGTTTTAAACACATTAAATAATTAGATCATGAACAAAAATAATATATATTTAATAATTTAAGATTGAAATTAAATTTATAATTAATGTAACTTAAAGTACAAATGAAACCTTAATTTAATTGCAAAAGAATTTCAAATCAATTTATGCGACTCAATGAAATTAAATATATATTTAATGTCACTTAAAGCGTAAACAAATGGAACCTTAATTTAATTGCAAAAGAATTTCAAATCAATTTTGCGACTCAATAAAAAAAAATTGCGCATAAAAAACAAAGTGGTGGGTGTGGGGTATCAATACATTAATTGAGGTAAAAGTTATTGAACTTTAGGAAAGTATTATAAAATATTATTAAATTATATATTTTATAATAAATAATCACTCTATTTTATCTAACTTTCTCAAAAGGTTATCAAATTATTTAAGTGACACGATCTAGTTCTATGATCAAGTGTCTTCATGTGGTATTTAAGCATTAATTGAATGATGTTTTTCATTACAAAGAATAATATAATAATTTCGCATGATACTTAGCAAAATTGTATGGCTTATCTTACCAGAAATTATTTTATGAATTGATATATATTGTCAATAATTCATAATTTAAAATATATTTAATTAACAAGTGACAAAATATCATTCATAATTTTAAATCATACATTCAAATGATTAAATCGTACATGAATCATCATCGATCTATATAACTTAATATTATTCCTATTACAACAACAATAAAGATCAGTTTCAATCAAGTAAAGGTCAAATATATAAAATACTCATTGATCGTATTGATACTTTAATTAATAACCAAAAAAGATACTCATTTGAGGCTCAAAGAATATGCATGGGTTTTATTGTGTTTTTTTATTGTATATATAGAAAAAAAACGATGAGTCATTTGAAAGACAATTCAATTTTTAGTATTTTCACAATTGACAAAGTTGAAAGCCCAATGGCCAATATATTCATACTACAATAACCTCCGATCCCAGTTAAGATTGTTTTATCCAAGCAATAAAATAATATATACTCATTTGTGGTTCAACTTATAAAACTAAAAATGAATAAATATCAGTTAGTATTGAAATTCATGGGTAGACCAGGCATTTTCGTTAATTTCAAAACTTAAAAATAGCAACGATCATATCATAGATAGAAAATGAAAAGAAAAGAACATAAAAGGTAAAATGTGAGAATGATGGGGAAATTGGAGACAACATGTATTTTATGAAGAAAAAAAATAGAGTTTAATTTCTTTGATTATTTTGACTTTAGAAATCTAAAATTTTAATTTATAAATTAATGGATAAATCTTAGAAGATATAAAATAAAAATAGATAGTACTTCATACATTATTTAGCACAAATACAAATAAAAAAAAACTTTAAACAAATTAATTTGAAAATTAAATTAAGTTTAATGGAAGATCTATTAAAAACGAATCAAGGCCAGGGTGAATTGAAAGTAATTCAATTTAAATTATCTTAAGTCAATCCATAATATTTTAAATAGATTAGACAAATCATTTTATATTTGAACTCATTTTAATAGTGTCAAAGAGGGACTGACTTGGTATGCTTTTCTTAGATAATCACAAAAAAATGCTTTCTTTGTTCCTATTTTGAGTGAATTGTGTCTCGCAAATTTATTTCATTTGTAGTTATTGTTAGGGTTTTGCCCTGATTTTCTTACCATAATTTAAGATTTATTTTTCCTTAAAGAAAAGACAAAACATTACCATAAATGTTTTTACTTTTCTTGAAAGGAAAATATAATATTCTTTCATATTTGGTTTATTCTTTCCTTTTATGACTCCTTTTCTAGTAGGAAAGGTTTTAGGACTCTATAAATATAGGTTTGTTTCTTCTAACACAATAACAATAGAATCCACAATGTAGTCGTTTAGTGAGTTTTGTTTATAGGGAGATTTATTCTCTCTAAAGTTTCAATGTTTTTCTTTATATTAGTTTTGATATAATAATATTTTGATTTTTTAGTATAAGTTTTTTTGTTATCTGATTTATCAACTATATGATTTACAAATTGTAAGCTTCCGCATGACGCCCTAATCACCTTCATAACCCAACAGTTATATAGTACTCTCTTCGTTTTAATAAAAATAACATAATTTAACTTATTATGAAATTTAAGAAAATAAAAAAATATTTGATGACCCATCATTCTCTATCTCCAACATTTCTCTCTTTTCTCTCTTGGATTCGCGTGAGTTTATTTAATAAAGTGCTCCTTTAAGTTTTGGGGTAGATCTATGTTCCATCTCATTAATTTATTCTTTAACACATTTAATCCCTTAAATTATTAAATATAACCCACTTCTTATTGGTCTATTTTTTTAAGATTAAGTTAAAAGTGTAAGCAAATGAAACCTTAATCTAAATGCAAAAGAATTTCAAATCGAAAATTGCACTTGAAAAAAAAAACGTGGTGGGGAATCAATACACTAATTGAGGTAAAAGGTATTCCAACTTTAGCAAAGTCTCATAAAATTATTACTTAAATTATGTATTTTATGATAATAAAAAGTTACTCAATTTGATTTAATTATCCTAAAAAGCCATCAAATTATTTGAGTGACACGTTTTAGTTTTTTTTTTTAAATACAAAAATAAAAAAATTCATTTAATGTGTGGTACTCGTATTAAAGTCTGACTAATTTGATTCCACACCATATAAGACTCTATTCGGAGGGAAGCGTTCCATATGAAGAATCTTTTGCATATTTATAACTCGAATCCGAAACCCTTTTGATTAAGAGAGAAATAACTCTCACCACATCCTTTGATGGTCATGTCTTAATTCTATGATCAAGTGACTTCATGATATTTAAGCTTAGTTGAACGTTATATTTATTATTTTATTTTTTTACAATTTTCCATTATTAAGCAAAATTGTATGATTTTATTTTTTTACAAAAGATTAATTTACTAATTCAATTTATTAAAAAAAAGTTAAGCAATTATTCGTAAAGTTACTAGTATACAAATTGTATTACTAATTCTTTTGGAGACAGTATAATATGAGATAATATAATAATTCCTTTTTGCTTCTGACAAGATATTATAATTTGTTTGTCTTATCTAATTAATTACTTTATTTTATAATACTCTGGCATGCTTTATTCTGTACAGAGAGTATAACGCACTATAAAATATGACTTAGCAGGTAAGCATGTAACTTGTGACACTCATAAAATATCTATACTTTCTTTTTTTAGTGTAAACTAAATTATTCGGGTTGTTTGGTTCGTGGGATATTTCAAAATTAAATTTGTGATTAGATTTATTTCAAAATTAAATTTGAGAGAAGATTTATATCTTTAATCAAATAAAGTATAAATTTAATTCTGAATATCACAACTTATTTTATCAAATTTGATGTTATTTTATCTCTCTCTTTTTTTATTTGATTTAAGAAATAAATTTTATTAGAATTACAATTCAAAAAATATAATCTTTGAATTAACTTAATCCGCAAACAAAACACCTTCATTTGAGTAAAATGTAAAATTAAACAATTGTTTCTTTGTCAAATTAAAAGGTAATGATATTGGTTCCCAAAAATATCTAAGCTTTTGCACTTCCCAAAACAAAGCCATATAGAAGTACCTAATAAGAAGAGATTTTTTTTAAAAAAAATTAATAATTATTATACTTATTCATATTTTAATAAGTTGTATAGGTATTTATTTATAGAAAAAAAAAACTAAGATTGATCCAGTCTAAATAAGCATAGCGTTGATACTCTCTCCATCCTTATTTACTTTTCAAATATTTTTTAATTTGATTTTTCTTTTTACTTATTATTTTTAATTAATCAAGGAACAATAATTATTTTTTCCTATTATACCCTTGATTTATTAATATTGAGTTGATATTTTTAAAAAGTGTAGTGAGTAAATATATCTGGGACTCCATCAATTAATAGGGTTAAATTAGTAAACTCACTGCACCAATTATTATTTTTCTTAATAAGTATGTCAAGTTAAAATTTGGCAAGTAAAAAGAGACCGAAGAACGGAAGAAGTATTATGTACTCTTCATATTTATGTTTTCTATCTCTGTTAAGTAATCAATATTTATTATATTAAAAATAAAATAA